CTGCATGCCATTGCTGGCGTGGTCGGACAGAGTCCGAGGCATCTTGGGCACGGCCCTTTAGATGCGCGTGAAGTGGCACATTATTCACCGGACGAAGACTGCGGGGTTAGCAGTCTTCGTCGGATGATCTAGACAACATCGGAGCTCCAAAGGAGCGGACAGTGAGGGTGACACCAGGCGACGCAGAGTGCGTGTTCACCCTGGTCTCATCCAGACATAGAACTTCTGTACAGAGGTGATGGCGACGCCTTATGCTGGCTGCAATACGCCGGGCATCGACCCTGATCCAGGGTGTATCTACCGTAAACGATGGCGCACAGTTATAAACCCTCGTCAACGGTATGAAAGGGAGGAAGATGGCACACGTTATCGCTTTTGGATAAAGCTGTCTTGAAGGACACCAAAAGAGTGCTGAACGCGCGAAGTGGATAGTCGATCCCACGAAATCCCTTGGATACGTACTATTCTTTGGTAAAGGAATTTCAAGACGTCGCCTCCAAAGACCCGCCTTCGGTCCTACCTTCGAACCGAGGTGTGCACCATGAGATCGATCTGATTTTGGGGGCCAAATACTGCGTAACGCCAGTGGCCCCTGCCCAGGGAGCAGTGCGACGTCATTGACGCATTTTTCCGTGCGAAGCACGACGCGGGGATGGTACGTGGGAGCAAGTCTCCCCATTCGACAGCCACGTTTTGTGTTCGGAAGCTGAACGGCAAGTGGCGTATCGTTCATGCTTACAATTAGCTCAACGCTGCCATCATTCCGGCACAGACGCCGATTCCTAGAAAGGTTGTTCTTCAGAACAACATGGTGGGATGTACGAAGGTCAGTGCACTCTACTTGGTAGATGGGTATTACCAATTGCTCATGAAAGCGAGGGGTAATACCCATCCACTGACAGCGGTGAGCACTCCTTACGTCATGCTCTGGGAGTGGCTGGTGATGCCCCAAGGGCTGTCAAATGCACTAGCAATATTAATCGCCTTGTGACGCAGTTGTTCAGGCCCCACAGGGCGTATGCACAGACATACTTTGACGACATTTTCCTTCACAGTCGTGCGGAGCACGAGAGGACAAATGAGGAGAACCAGATCGTCCATTAAAGAGCTGTGCTCGAGTGCATGCGCACGAACAAACTGTACGCCAAGGCAGACAAGTGCACCTTTGGCGCGAATGCTTCATTGGGAAGCGTGGCTTTCAAGCGGACCCCGCTAAGGTCAAGGTCATTGTAGACTGGCCTATTCCAAAAAAACAGAAGGAATTGCGTAAGTGGCTTGGTTTCGCCAACTATTTATACAAATACAGCGTGAACTACGCAGGAATGGTCCGGCCATTATCCAACCTCCTAAAAAAGGATGCGGAATGGTGTTGGAGCACCGAACATCAGAAGGCTTTTGACGGAGTCAAGAAAGCCTCCTGCATACACCAATACTGGCGCTGCCAGACCCTGATAGTCCTTTCAGCGTCGTCTGTGACGCTTCGGACTTTGTCATCGGCTGTGCACTGCTGCAAGCTAACGCCGAGGGGCGAGATCGGGTGTTCGCGTTCGAATCTCGACAGCTCAAACTGCGGAGAAAAACTACCCAGTTCATGACAAAGAGCTACTTACGTTGAAGTATGCACTTGTCAAGTTCAGGGTCCCCCTGCTCAGCTCCAAGCCGTTTGTGATCTAAACAGATCATGCGTCACTACGCACTGCGACTCAGTCGCCCCAACTCTCGCAGAGGATGACTAGATGGCTATCCTTCTTTGCGGAATGTAACTTCAAAGTGAAGTATAAGCCGGGAAAGCAGAATGGTTTGGCTGATGCGTTGTCCCGCAGACCAGACTATGAGCTTGCTCATGTTACAATTGTAACGTCGTCTGTGACGGATTTGATCCGCACCGCGTATGCGGGTGATGGGATGTGTGTAGCGATGCTACGGGCTCTCGGGAGCAAGGATTTTGGAGACTCGAACAAGAAATTTTCACCATGACTGCGTGCACAATTGCATAGATATTCCTTAAATAACGGCTTGCTATATTATAGCACCGAATCAACGGAAACACCACGAATTATGGTTCCTCATTTTGAGAATTTGAAATATCGCATCCTCTATGAGGCTCATGACACGCTACTCTATGGTCATCTCGGTCGTGAGAAAACGTACAGCTCTGTGAATCACCACTATTGGTGGCTCAAACTGTACAAATGGACGGGCACCTACGTGCGCACGTGTGAGACGTGTCAACGGGTAAAACCGTCTCCAAATGCGGCTGCACCGCTGGCTAGCTTACCGGTACCCACTGGCTGCTGGCAGTCCATGAGTTTGAACTTTGTGTTTGGCCGAAAGATTCGGCGGTCAACACGGGTGTCGTGGTATTCGTAGATCGGTTGAGAAAGATGGATCATTTGGCGGCGGTGCCAGACACCATCGACGGGGTCGGTACAGCAACGCTGTTCGTGAATTGTGTTTTCCGACAACACGGACTCCCAGATTCGATTGTCTCTGATAGAGACCCCCGTTTCACGGGAAATTTTGGTCGACTATCTTCAACGTGCTAGGCACCAAGTTGGGTATGTCGACAGCGGATCATCCGCAGACCGAAGGCCAAACCGGAAGGGTGAATAGCGTCATTGAAGACGTTCTTTGCAGTGTCTGCGCTGAGACGCCGAGGCGCTGGAGCGCCATGTTGCCACTCGTGAGTTTGCACTGAACAATGCAGTGCATTCGTCTACCGGCTACACGCCGTTCTACGTGAACGGGCTGGTTCACCCTCGCGTCCCGCTGACGCCGCCATCTCATGACTCAGGGCTTGGTGGGGGAGGAATAGCCGAACGGCTAGCTGATGTCAGCCCCCTCACCTTCCGCAAAGAAGTTGATGACTTATGGTCG